CCGCTCCCGTTCCCGTGTGGTTGACCTGAAGGATCCCCGCCCGGCTCCACCTCGGGGATGGGGTGGGGGGTCACGGCTGAGCAGCCGCCCCTCTGCCTCGCCTTCGTGTTTCGGAGTGGCTCTGAAACCTGCCGGAGCAGCAGCAGCACCCCCAGCACATCCCTGCCCCGGCGCTGCCAGGGGGTTGCGCAGCCGCCGCTGTTTCCTGTTAAATTTGGCTGGTTCTGTCCGAGCCGTGTGTTTGCAGGAGGCACCGCGGCCAGGAACGCTTGCCTTCTCAACGTTTGTGTTTTCCTTCCTTTTCCCGAAGCGTTACAACCCCCAGTGACAGAAGGGACTGTAAGTGCAGTGTCTTACCTGGCCATGAAACTGGGAACCAGAACTGCGCGGAGGTCGCAGCATAAGGCTGCGCTGTCGATCTAGAGCGACACAGCAACATTCCCCTTCCCTGGTCATTCCTGATTTACTCCTTCTGCTGTTTCCACGCGTTGGACCCATGCATTTGCATTGCCGTGCGGGTGTTTTCTCTCCTGCGTGGCAGCAGCTCTTTTAAAGCCTGTCATTCCACGTACACAGTCAGGATTGTTTGCTCCCACAGTGCATTTAATCACCTTGTTTCTAACAGTCGAGGGGTCGTTCTGCAGACCCACTGCTAGATCTTGTTATTGTAAATACCTTATTTTCTTTCACACATGCTTTCCAGATCACCCATTGACATGTTAAATGTACAAGTCTTGGGAAAGGTCTCTGCAGGCTTGTAGCATGGGTGTCCTTTCATCGAGCAGTTTCTATTTTCTTCTACTTTTTAACTGCTTGTTACCTTCTGAGTTTTCTTTCCATATCCTGTGGCTGCCTTTTTTATTTTGGCTGCTCTGTTACAGAGCCTGAAAGGCAAAGCAGAGTCTATCTGCTTTGGTTGCTCTACCAGCAGCTTCTTTACCTCGTTCTAGACTTGTATGATTTGCTTCTGTAAAGCAGAATTCTGTAAATTTCTTTCTGTAAAGAAAACTCTTGTGTTTTCCATGGAGTAATCTTTATGTGTGGATCTACTAGTCCTGCTTTTTATTATCATTATTGCCATTTTACAGTGACAGAAGTTTGTTAAACAGACGGTGGCTATGTTAAATGTGCAGTTAATATGGTGGGAAAGATGAAAAGGGCAACTTAATTTGCTGGCTGTGTCGTTTCAGGCTGACATCAGCTGGTTGGTGAACGGCGTGCAGCAGGAGACTATTAAGCAGCCCCTGGGTTTTATTCCAATCATGGTGAAATCCAAGTTGTGCAACCTCTATAACCTTTCTCCACAAGAGCTCATACAGCACCACGAGGAGGAAGAGGTAACAGGGGTTTTGGGGGTCAGAAAAAGATGCATTTTATGTGAGCAGTGTCTTAGGCCACCTTCTCTTGACAGGACTTGAGCATTTATATTTTGTTTTAAGTTTGAGTTGTTATTTTCTCTGACTGTACCCCAGTTATGGTGGTTCCATAGAGCATCTTGAAAAATCTGAAATCTCAGCTGTCTTTGCGTGCAGGGATCTCTTTGGTGCTGATGCCTATAGTTTCAGTATATGGCTTCTCAGCTGCTGGCTGGTGACTGAGGCTGGGTGGCTGTTACTGGGCCTCTGTGGAGCCAAAACATTTGGGGAACAAGCTTGAAAGAGACGTTTCCATTCTCCGTTCTCTTCTGCAGCTTTTTCATCATCTGCCCAGTAACACATCTACTGTGGGGAACAGAATATGGAATTATTTAGTGCTGTATTTTGTGCTTACAAAAAGAGTGATCAAACTGCAAAGGCAAATCTGCAGCAGCACCCTGTCGCTGCCCCTCTAGCATGCTCTGGTACCTTTGTTTGTGGTATTACTCACCACTGAAACACCTTTTGTCTAATGCCACACTGTATAGGGAGCTGTAAGTTTATCAGTGACACTTGTATGTGATCAGAAAGAGGTTTTCTGCACTGGAGATCCCTCTGGTTTACAAACTCAAAGTTAGAACTTGATGTTATTTATAAAAAAATAGTTTATGTCAGTCCTTCAAAGCTGTTTGGCTACACAGGGTTTTTGGGTTTTTTCTTTCCTTCCCTTAATTTGTGGCACGTGCACCCCCTTCCCAGCACTGTCAGCTACATTTACACTTAGTAGTCAGTGGCAAGGGGCGCAGCCTTTTCTAATGCAGTACTGAAACGTGTCTTGCTTTGTGTTTCCCAGTTAAAACATTAGAAGTTTGTTAACATATAATATAGGCATTTTTCGCTTAAAATGTTGGGTTATTAATTTCTAAGCACGTTAAAATGATTTTTTTTTTTCTTCTGCCAGGAAATGGGAGGCTACTTTATAGTTAACGGCTTAGAAAAAGTCATTAGGATGCTGATTATGCCCAGGCGAAATTTCCCCCTTGCAATGACAAGACACAAATGGAAAACCAGAGGCCCTGGCTTCACAGAGTATGGTAAGCTGAATGGCTTCCTGCAGTGTCCTGCCAGTAACTGCCTGAGGACAAACAGTGACCACCTGTAGCTGACTGTTGGTAGTTTGTTTTGGTGTAGTTCTTGTATCATGTTTATATTTTTTACTACATATAAAAATAAACTGGGGAGGGACTTTTTACAAGGGCAGGGAGTGATAGAACAAGGGGCGATAGCTATAAACTGGACAAGAGTAGATTTAGATGAGATATTAGGAAGAAATTCTTTCCTGTGAGGGTGGTGAGACACTGGCACAGGTTGCCCAGAGAAGCTGTGGATGCCCCCTCCCTGGAAGTGTTCAAGACCAGGTTGGATGAGGCTTTGAGCAACCTGGTCTAGTGGAAGGCGTCCCTGCTGATGGCAGGGGGGTGGAACTGGATGATCTTGAAGGTCCTTTCCAACCCAAACCATTCTGTGATTCTATGATAAATGGTCAACACCACGGTAAGGGTTAGAAGTATGAGGGCAGTGCTGGCCAGAGCTGCCTGAGCCACCCGTGCTGAGCAAGGAGATGGCATTCCAGGCCTTGCAGCACGTCACCTTCTGTTACGCGGAAGGTGTGACTAAATCCCTGCCTTTGGTGGAAGCTGGTGTAAACTGCTGAACTTGTTTCATTGAATTTGTTTTTCCATACTTTGAGATGGCAGATTTAATTTACACGAGATAGATTAACTAGGTTCTTGGCTGTCCCATACCTTTGTCATGTATACTTAGTAAAACAAGTTTAAAATTGAATTAATCCAGAAAAGTTACAGTTTTAAACTTGTGTTACCAGCTGCTGATGTCAGTAGACCATGGTGCTTGAGCACACACTGTCATTCCACATTAATTAATTTTGAGGTGGTACCAATTTAAGCAGTCCCATTTGTTTGATTTTCCCCCTGTCCTGCAGTGAATGGCATGGGGCAGGGCCAGGAAACACTGCTTCAGCAGTGCCACCCGAGCACAGAGGTGTGGAAACTGGACCCAGAGTGCAGTTAGGAAGAGAACTTGTGTCTTAAACCTGAGGTTACAGATGGGATAGTGGAGGCTTAGAATCATAGAATTGTTTTGGTTGGAAAAGACCTTTAAGATTGTCGACTCCAATCGTTAACTGAACACTGTTGAGTCCACCACTAAACCAAGTCCCTGAGCACCCATCTACACGTCTTTTAAATACCTCCAGGGATGGTGACTCCACCACTTACCTGGGCAGCCTGTTCTGATGCTTCACAACCCTTTTGGTGAAGAAGTTTATCCTAATATCCAATCTAAAGCTTGGGGCTTTATTTTTTTTTTTTTTAACTGTATGCATCTTCCAGTCCTCTTGGCGAGTGTGCTAGCTATCCTGAGACATTTGTCCACCAAGAACTAACTCAAGCTGGTGTATTTATTTGAAATGAGAGACTTGATGTTGGAACTACTGACCTCCCTCCTGTTGTCAGCCATGCAGTACCAAAGTTTCTCTCCTGAATTGTCTCTCACCTGCCTGGACATGTTACAGCAATGCAGCCAGTTGGTTTTGTACGGCTCACGTGGGTCCTTGCTTGTGTTTATTTTTGCAGGAGTCATGATGCACTGTGTGAAGGATGAGCACACTGCGATAAATATGAACCTTCACTACTTGGAAAATGGTTGTGTCATGCTGAACTTCATTTTTCAGAAAGAGTTGTTCTTCATTCCCTTGGGATTTGCTCTGAAGGTAAACAGCTGATACTCATGCTTTTTGTGTTGAATAAATACAGTTTTGCTAAGTGTTTTCATTAAGTAATGAGAAGAAACTAGTTCACACATATGAAGTATTTTCAGCCGTCCTTCCTGTACTGGCTGAAGAACTGTAGTCCAAACCAAGCCTGTGCCTGTAAGGTACCGCTCGACTGTAGCAGAGGAAGCGTGTGCAGGGTCAGGAGCAGAGGAGTTACACAAGGGTTTCGAGGCTTTTTGCTCATGAGTGCTCTGGATGAAGGGCTCTTGGAAGGTGTCAGAGTTTGCTGCCTAATGTGAAAGATCTTGGGAATCTTTTTTTTTAAACAGAATGACAGCTGAGTGTTTAGTGAGTGAACAACATTAAAATCAAGTTGTTCCATCTAAAAGTGAACCAGTGAACTGGCTTTTTTTTAAGGAAAAAAATAAAATACCAGTTTTGATAGGAACTGGAAAGCAATGAAAGTCTGGAAGGATCTATGTGAGGACATTTGATGGATGTGAACTCTTCCTTGGACTGCGGGAAAAAGTTTGACTTGAGCCAAGGCTTTTGAAATTCTCCTCTAAAAGCGTGCTTTCTCCAGGAGCAGAGCTGGAACCCTTCAACATGGCCAGAGCCATGTGTTTTACCTGCAGCAGCTGAGTGTTAGAGCTGGTGGCTGGTGGAAGTGTCATGTCAATCAGTCTCAGTGGATTTATATCTTCTTCTTTCAGCCTGCTGTGTTCACATTGCTGTTGCACAGTACATTTCACTTTTTCTTCAGTGCTTTTCTTCAGCTTTTGTTTCAACAAAAGGAGTTGCCAAAAGCAGCTGATTACCTGTTGTTTTAATATGCAGAGGAACAGAACTGACTTTCTGGTAGCTCAGAAAGATCTCAGGATAAGCAGGCCATGCTGTCTGAAGTTTGAATGCTTCCATAAGTGGTCACTCTCTGTGGCTGTGCATCCCCTCACATCAGTCCAGCTCAGTTTTGTACTGGTTTCCTGTGGCCTTTCCAGGTCCCACTGCAATTATGTTCTGGCTGTAATTCAGGTTTCTTCTTGCTGTGTCATCATCCCAGCGCTCTCCTGTGTTAGACAAGAGGCAGCACGTGCTCTGGCTGCTTCCAAATTGTATGTATCATGACTACTGAGCAGCAGAACAGAGCTTACATTACCCACTTTCATAAAGAAAGCTGCCTTTGTGTCTTTTTCATGCAGTCTTCACTTTTTCCTGAACTACTTGAAGCCTACATAAATGTGATGATCTAACAAATTACTGAAAGATGAAGCACATCTGTCTGTAAATGCAGGTCATTGGTGGACAGCATATTTACTTAACCCTCATGTAAAGAAACAACTAGAAAACCATTATAACACCAAGAGCTAAGAATGTGGGATTGAAGTGTGAGCTTTAGTACATGAAGTGCCAAAATTAAGGTGGATTCTAATAGCCTTCATCAAAAGGCAAAACTGCCTTTTAGTTTGCGTAAGGAGAAGCAGCAGCTTGAGACAGTTCAATTCATGTTTCTAAGTGAGCTCATTCTGTAAAGATACTAGTAAATCTTACTTAAACAAGAGAAGCCTGTTAATTTTGAGGGTGCAAGTTTGGTTTTTTTACAAGAGTCTCATTAGATCATCTTGTGATTGTCATCATGGATTGAATATGCCCTGTGGTACGCTCTAAGCAGCTCAGCCCTGCAGTCTTTTTCAGTTTGCACAGGGGAAGGGTATTTCCAGGGGACTGAAAACCTAAACCAGTGGGGTGCCCTAGTACATTTGCTGTATTTTATGGCCAGAGGTTGCTGTGATTGTTTTTCTGATCTGATAACACTTCTGTCTTTCAGGCATTGGTTAATTTCTCAGACTACCAGATTTTTGAAGAGTTGGTTAAAGGAAAAGAAGGGGACACCTTTTATGTGAACTGCATTACTGAGATGATGAGAGCGGTAGTGGATGCAGGATGTTTTACACAGCAAAATGTCCTCGAATACCTGGGAAAGAGCTTCAGAATAAAACTGAACCTTCCTGAGTGGTACAGCAACGAGCAGGCTGCAGATTTCCTTTTGAAGTACGTATGTATGCACAGAGGAGCGTGTGATTTGGTGTAGTTGTGTGGAAATTACAGGCAGATTTAAGAGTACTCCACCATATTGCAGCACACTTTTGTCACAGTTTTGACAGGGATTTATAAAAGAGTAGCCAGTGGCCAGTTTTTTATGGGACTCTAGGATATTATGGATAATCTGTATTTGTGGTGTTCAGAAATAAGTATTTTAATGGATTGACACAAGTATCCCCAAAATGGTTTCAGGAGAGGGTATCAGTTGTTACTTAGGTGTGATCTGATGTATTTGATGAAAAATATAAAGATTAAGGAAGAGAAGGATAGAGCTAGGTCTGTGACTGATCCAGACTCTATTTGTTGAACAGAAATATGCAATTTTTGGCCTTTATCAGTTTCACAGAGTCATTGACAATTGTGACAAGAATTACATTTTTCTTTTAAAATGATAGAAATGAGGTGATTTAAAACCTTGCTTCTTCCATGGAATAAGGTAGGAATGAATGGAAGAGCCAGTTCTGAGACTGTCAGTGTGACAGACATTCAGTGAAATAATTCCTTTTTCTGGTAAAGTGGGTATTTGCTCTTTGAGAGGTTTTTTTGCACATGAAAAGGATCGTTCTGGATGCTCAAGTCTTTGAGTACTTGTAAACAGGGGGCGGTGAGGTGTGTTAATTGGGATGTACCCTCTGTGTAAGAGTGCATTTACCTGGACAAAGCTGGTCTGGGGAGCTGTGTCTTGCTCTGCAGCGCAGCTGCAAAGGCTTCAGCAGAGGCCAAGGGAGAGCAGAAGGGAAAAGCTGAAAAAATCCTTGAGTGTTGATGGAGGACTAATGCACTTGTGTCCTGGAGAGCAAGTGATCTCCAGTGTCTTGGAGAGCAGGCGACCACCTTTGGTGGGAGTTAGCCGTTGCTTTCCTTTCTGCTTGTGCCAGAGCCTAGTTCAGCCCGCGGTTCTCCACACGTGGGTCGATAGCCATGAAGCTCTGGGCTTTCTGTGGCAGGATGCTGATAGCTTTAACAGAAATGTTTTGTGGTTTGCTGCTAGTTTCCAGCTTGGATTTGGGATGGAGTATGTGTATGTGAATATGTGCTTGTATATGATTGGTGTCACAGCTACTGTAAAATAACACACAAACCTTAACTTTTGCCTAGTTCTGACTCAAATATCGTTTACATAAACTCTATACTTACAAGGACTTCTAATGTGGGAGTGTGTGAAATCAATCTTTGGCACAGTTCACCTTCATCAAATCAACCAGGTATATCCTTAACAAAACTAGCCCCTTAAGAAGACAAGTCGATAATTTTTCAGCTCAGTCTCTCGGGTTTTTTTATTATTATTTCTTGGAATTTTCATATCATACTAAGGGCAACTGGAAAAGCTTGTGCCTTTCTGGGCTTGTTATCCAAAAAATTGGGTTTACAATTACTTAGGAGAAACTTGAAGAACAGCTATCAAGAAGAGGTGGTGTTAGTTGTCCTCCTTTCTTTCCCTCCAGCAAGTGTATCTGCATACACCTGACAAGCAGAACTGAGAAGTTCTACCTGCTCTGTATGATGACCCGCAAGCTGCATGCTTTTGCCAAAGGGGAGTGCATGGAGGATAACCCAGACAGTCTGATGAATCAAGAGGTGCTTACCCCAGGACAGCTTTTCCTTATGTTCCTAAAGGTAAGGTCTTGAGGGCTCTAAGCCTGTGAACGTGATGGTGATCCAGCCCAGGCCCCACGGTGACTGTGGGGACAGGAGGAGTGCAGGAGCTGGGCTGAGGAGTGAGGAGCCTGGGTACGCCGTGAAGGCTGGGAGGCGGCTGGATGTGGTGCAAGCAGGCAGAACAGTCGAGGAAGGCTTGGCTGCCTTGGTACAGGGCACTAAATATGCTGAAGAAAAGCCTGTACAAAACCTGCAATAAAGAGTTTCTTCGCCTTTCAAAGCAAAGGAGAGTTCCCTGTGCAAGAGTTGGGTCTGAGGAAGAAGGAATGCTGATCCTTCTGGTGTGTGAATTGAAACAGCATGCTGCTGTTGTATTAGTTGCTACAGGAGTGGTAAAGATCTGCCTCGTGGTGGTGCTGCTGTTTCACACGGCATATGTGCAAGAAAATAACTGCCCGCCTCCCTGCCATCTTCCAGAAGTGATGACTTGTGATGTTGTCATCTCTCTCTCCCATATTTAAATTCCTCTATGGATCAGGAAGTCGATAGCACGGTGCTGACTTACACAGTTAATTTACTACTGGTAGTATAAAAATGCAATTTCCTAATCTATTCCAATTCAATATGAATTCAGTTTATTTCTCAGGGTTCCTTATTTTAAGATGCCAGGAGCTTGACTATCCCATTAAAATCATTGTGGTATAGTAGTTCTCATTCCCAAGTAAAGATACTTCCCCAACTTATTTAATAACTCTTTTTTTAACCTTTCTTTTCCTTTTTAGCCAAAATTTTCTTTAGTATTTTTTTGGTGAAAGACTGCTGAAAGCTCTCAACTTCTTGAACGGTTTCAGTGAGTTTAGAAGTAAAATAAAATAAAATAAAATAAAATAAAATAAATTCTGTACAGCATTTCAGTGCTGTATGGCACTGCCACCAGGAACCAGAACAGGTTGCTTTCCTGCGTGATTACTAAGCTGTTGGATGGGTATTTTCCTTGCAGGTCTGTGCTGGTGTGATACTGTCAGCATTTTGACAAAATGAAGTCTGTGGGAAATAATGTCTGGAAAACTGTTAGTTCACTTACACTTGTCCATCCTGCTGATTTCAGAGGATTTCTCTAGGACATTAAACTGATGTGAAGTTCTAATTTGAGACTTTATTTTCCTGTATTGAATTGAAATCTCTCCCTTTTAAACCATAGGAGAGGCTTGAAAGCTGGTTGCAGTCTGTTAAGTTCGTTTTGGAGAAAAGAAGAGAAAAGGCAGATATCGTCATAAATGCAGACAGCTTGGTGAAGGCATTCAGCCTGGTGACAGACTTCACCAAGCCATTTGAATATCTTCTTGCAACGGGTAACCTGCGATCTAAAACCGGTAAAGCTTCAGGCTTAAGAAGCCTTTTTTATTTATTTATTTATTTCCCCTGCTAAACAGAACGAGAAACAAAATAAACTTGAGCTCTTAACTGAAAACAACTGCTTGTGTGCACACATTGTACACAGGAACTGAATTATTGAACATGGTTTGAGGAGGAGGGATAGTTGAGGAAAAAGGCAGGATTTCTCCTCAGTCATAGACTTTATGCGTTGTATGAAACAGGTCAGTTACTGAAGCAAAACCTCTACCCAAATAGTTGAAACTAAATTTGGCATTGTCTAAAACAGCAAGTGTATTTTTATTTGTTTCCCAAAGATTATTTCTTCTTAGAAGGTGCCATGTAAGACAGAGGAGGGGCATCTGTTTATCAGGACTACCCCATTGTGAGCTCAGGTGGAGAGAAAATGCTTCACTAATGTGTATTTCAAATTTACCTGGTGCTTCCCCAAAGTGTCTAGTGTGACAATTTGGAATGGAATGCCCACTGGAAAATGAAATGAGATTCGAAGGTCACAGAATGTCAGTTAAAAAGTACCAGCTGCAGATCCCCAGGTCACTTTGCTGGGAAGGACTTCCATGTGTTTCTAAAAGGAGATGGATTTTAAGCAATAGCTTGGATTTTAAAGTCCCTAGGGCTCTTACAGGTCACCAAGTTGCCTGTGCACCAGCAACAGCACACATGCTGTTGACATCCTGTGTGAGCATCTTCAGGGCTTGTAAGTGAAAAATAAGAAAGGGCTGTGTAACGTCATCCTTTATTTGTGAAAGCCAGACGACGTCCTGATGTCAATCTCGATTTTGTTCCCGAGGCCTGGGCCTGTTGCAGGACAGCGGTCTGTGTGTGGTGGGAGACAAGCTGAATTTCATTCGCTACCTTTCCCACTTCCGCTGCATACACAGAGGAGCAGCGTTTTCCCAGATGAGAACCACGACTGTCCGCAAGCTGCTGCCTGAGTCCTGGGGCTTCCTCTGCCCGGTGGACACCCCGGATGGAGAACCCTGCGGTCTGATGAACCACATGACGGCTGTGTGTGAAATAGTGACGGAGATGGTGCCCGTGACAGACATCCCACCTTTATTATGCTCCCTGGGTATGTTTTGCTAGCTTGGTTATTTAATTAAACAGTCTTCCTTTTTACCTTCCTGCAAAACCGTGCCGGGGAAAGGCTCTCCTGGTACTGTCACTGTACTGGTAATATTAAAATATTAATTTT